AAAACTTTCTGTCCCTTATATGGCACATAGGCCACACCCACTTGGATGTAGCAGTCACAGGCATAATCCTAGTATTGGATCATGAGTCAGTCAAACATTCTAGATGCCCACTACCATGACTGTGTGAAGCTCTAGGGTGGTATTCAAACTCAAACAATAACATTTTGCCTCTGGCCTCCCAAAGACTGGTGCACATTTTTTATGCAAAAACATTTATTCCATCTCCAAGAGTCACCAAAGTCCTAACAATTTTGGCATGGCTGAAAAGTTCTAGTCCCAAGTCTCCTCCAGGATCTAAGGCAAACTCTTAGCTGTGAGTTCCTGTACCCATGAAAAGTTAAACACTTCCAATATTCAATGGCACAAGATAAACATTATCATTCCAAAGTATTGAAACAGGGGGATGCAAAGGAATGAGACCAAAGGAAGCCCAATATCAAGCAGGACAAACAGTAAGTCCTGTGGTTCCATGAGGAACATCTGAAGCAATATGTGGCAATTCTTGAGCTCCAAAAGGCTTGCATGGCATCACTTCCAGTGGCGGTAGCTCCCATGCTTCTCTTAGGCCTACTCTGCTCAGTCCTTGCAGCTTTCCTTAGAGTATCCATGTTCCTGGCTTTCCCAGAGTTCTTGGACCTCCACTGTGCCTTGGCTTCACCCTCACAGCTTCACACACTGTCCTCTCAGGGGCACACTGCCTGTGCTCCAAGGCCTTCTTTGGAAAGCTGGGTGGAAGCCTTTTTTAATCTCATACTCTGGCATTCTGCTTGCATCTAAAACCAGCGCCATGTGGGTGGTGCCAAGGTCTGCTGCCAGCTAGTCAAATAGCCAGCCTTGTTCTCTCTTTGGTGCAGGGACTAGATGTCTTGATTTCTGAGCACTTTCAACCTGATTCTGAGGAACAAATTATGCTGTGGTCATTTTGGAACCTGGTGCTCTGCAGCTTTTTTCTCCAAGCAAAGTTTTTCACTTTTGCAATTTTGAAGTTGCAAAGGGTAAAGACTTCTACTTCTTGTGATGCCCTCAGGCCATATTTTTTATTGTTTCTTTGCTTTTCAGCAATTAAGACGTTTTCTGCTGATCTTTGCAGTTCATAGCTTTACTGGAGCTTCTTTGTGGCCAAACTCATAATATTTTAAATCATCTTTTGGGCTCTTTGGTCTTCATTCTCAACATAAATCTGGCTAAAATTCCCCAGTGATAGCCATGCTACTACCTCAACATTTCACTCTCTCTTAATTTCTTTTGCCAGATTGTTTAGTCCACCACTTTTAATCCTAGTCTCAGGCAGAAGCTCTGGGCATGAGCAAAACACAGATAAGCTTTTTGCCAAACCATAACACATATCATCTGGAATCCAACAGCCAGTGCAGTCCTTCTGCCTAGCAGAATCCTCCTGAATCTAGTCTTTACTAGCGGAGATCTCTAATCAGCCTTCTGGTTTTCTGAGTTCTGACCAGATTGTGTTGTACAGAACAGTCTATGGCATTCCAGCACTACTCTTTCAGGTGACATCTCCGAACTGTTCCAACAAGCCATTTGCAAAGGCTCTTGAAGTACATAGTCAGGGGTAGTCACTCCTTTGGCACTAAATTCTATCTTGGTTACTTTGTCCTCATTTCTTGGACAAATACTCAACACCCAAAATTAAGGAAGGAAAGGTTGATTGAGCTCACAGTTTGTGGTGGTTTCAGACCATATTCAGCTGGTTCCAAGGCAGGGTGGTATAGCAAAGGGGCAGCCTTTTATGCTGATGGAAAACAGCAAAAGCAACAAGAGCAAAATGGGAGGAACAGGCGAGAGAAGACTCTGACCCTTATAGTATATGTAGGCCACACTCACTTGGGTGTAGTACTCATACCCATAATCCCACCATTAGATTATGAACCACTCTTCTGGAAGCCTGCTCCTATGACTGCATGAAGCTTTATAGTGACATTCAGACCCAAATCATAACACTGCTTCAGAGTATGTAAAACAATCCTCCTCATTTTTGTCTTTAAAGCTTTCCTTTGTCTCAATCTCATTCAATAAGTCCATACATTTTTGGGGCATGCATATTACCATTGTGATGCTGCCATCTCCAAATATATATTAGTTTACCTTGGAGACCTTCTTTATGATTTCTTAAATTTAGGTTAATTGTCATATGAATTTAAAAAAATATTTATTCAGAAATGGAATTAAAGTGCTGGTGATTTTTGTTTTATAACCTTGGTTATAAACTCGTTACTGATATTTCCAGAAATTTGTGATTTATACAGAAGTTAATTATTTAACATATGTATAACCTGCATGAGTGATAAGCAAATCCATGGTTTGGAATTGGGGATGAGGACCAGGAATTTACCTGGGTGTTGATGAAAAGACTGTGGAGTCTCTGTTGTAATGGAAACAGCTTAGTTTGTGTCCTCTGTCATTTCCTGATGGAGAGATCCTAACAGGGGGACTATTGTAGTCAGGGGTTGTGCAGAGAACAATTAGAATCAAGACATGGAGTTTATAATATTATTTTTATAATGGTCACCGGGAGTTTACAAAAGAAAATGCAGGAAATCTAGCTGCAACACCAAAACATGGAATATTTAGTCAAGGCGTAAATCCCACAGCAATGTCCCACATGAGTCCAGATGAAAACCCAGAACTCATGACAATACCTCCCAAGAGTCCAACTGGAGGTCCAGTGCCCACAACCAGGACTCATGCCAGTCTCTTTTATGGATCTGTGCCAGGAAGTCACAAAGGTCTGCGGTGGAAGCCAGCAAGTCTGTGTCAGCAGGGTGAAGGAGCTGTGCTGATGGGATGAGGGTTCTACACTGAAGCGAAGAAGTCACACTCACAACAAAGACCAGGACTGTCCTGAAAGGCACCACAGCCATCCTCAGTGACATGGAGACCCTGAGCTCCTCCTCTGACAAGCACATTCAGATATATGCCAGGAAGCCAGTGTGTTGAGTTCATCATGGAGACCAAGCGGCACACATCTTCCCCTCTGGAGCCCGGAATTGATGCTCGATGTAAGGACCAGAGCTTCTTCAGGAGAATCAACTGTTCAAACAGCGACTCGTAGGAGAACCCACAATGCCTCAATGCAATAATGCATTAATGTCCTAACACCCTCCTTCTCCTTCTCCACCTATTTATGCTGACAACTCTCCTCAGGTGAAGCATCTTCGCTCAGTGCCATGCTGATGTAATTCAGCTGGCATTAAGCTGAACACCCATTCTTAATCCATCTCAGGGAGCCCTCCAATCTTTTACTGCATATATAAAAAAGGGGTCATAACAGATGTGAGCAAGTCCAGGCAGCTCATATCTACAACATGCTGTTGTAATGACTCCAAGACTAGATATCAAGATCAGTTTTTAGGCAGAAATAATATAAAAACATTCAGTACCTCATCACCCAGAATTTTAATTTGTCAAGATTTTGTAACATTTAATTCAAGTCTTTTTTTTTCAATAAAAGAATAAACCAGATATGGGCATATCAGTGGGCATATCATCCTTCAACTCTGGTATCCTTCCCTTTACAGCATCTCTAAAGGTGACTACATCATGAACTAAATACAAACAATCCCTTTTTATCTTCCTGATAATTTTCTATACATATATGGATATTTATGAATAGTTGTAATTTTATTTCTTGAGGTCTGAGAAGATTATAAGTGTGGTTCTAATAGGGGGTATGGATAAATTGTTTTCATTTCATTAAAGAATTTGTTTTTCATACTTTTCCATACATTGTGGAAACCATATATTATAAAGTATGTATCAGACAGGAAAACCTGAAAGCTAAAAATACATCTTCCTTTAAGAAGGGAATCACTTGTAATTAAAAGGAAACTATGAAATAAATGTAATTTGGATCTAAAATGGCTGTGTTTGATTCTGACACCAAGAAGCATATTTCATCTGTAAGGTGATAAAGAACCTACAATAAATAGCACCGTTAAAGATCCCGAGGTTAAATCATGTAATCATAGTGAGTTAGGTGGAAATAAAGCATTGCAAGGGCCAGTTCAGAAGGACCTAGGTGACCTGATCAGAGCCATGAGCAGAAGGGGCCTATTAGAGTGGGCAGGCTGAGGTGGACTGAGATCAAGAAGACCATTGTTGAGCAGGACAATCATGCACCATATACTGGTCACACCTACTCCATGCACAATAGTTCTAAGAATACCTTGTAGCTATGAAAGCTAGGTATTTCCTTCCTTGTTTTCACCTATATGATTAATTATTTTACTACAGAGTCAGAAAATGAATCCTTGATTTCTTAGCTTTCCATGAAAGTGCCAAGGCACAGATGAGGTCAGCGAGATGAAGTGTCTATTGTGTTGGGGTTAACTTCCCAAGTATTGTCTCCACGGGAGAAAGCCTTTGGCCTTTCTCTCTCTTGACTACGATGAAGAAAAACATATGGATACATTGTGAGAAACCTCAGCCCTGGTTACATTTGCGGGTATAGAAACATCTCGATGAGATGGGACCATAGGAAAGTAGCAAATTCATAGACACTGAGCGCATTAATTCCCAGAAGTATGTTTCAGCACAGAACTTGTTATTAACCATACCTTACTTTCTATAGCCCAAATTCTATATACTTGAAGGGACCAAATGGCACCAAAAATAAAATCCATGCAATTTTGTATTTGCGGTTCTGTGTGAAAATAAGCAAAGCCACTCAAATGAAAACATGCTGTGGTTATTTAGAACTTGCTGTAGCAAAGGCCTGGCCACCATAGCTAGTATTTGGTGGAGGTTCAAAGGCAGGAGAGCAGCAGGAAAGTTTTTGTAATTGTTACCATGGAGAAGCTGTGTGACTGGCTTCAGCACAAGCATGGCTTTCTTTGGTTGGGGCTAAACAGGAAATGAGGTTAAAAAAAATAATAGAGGAGCTGGTGAATCTATCCATGTGCTGACGGTTTGGGGCTGATGGCTAGGAGGCTGGGAGCCTGAATTCTGCCATATGCATGGCCTGGCCATCGTCCATTGCATATTCAGCTTTTTACTTCCTTGAGATCCACATTTGCAGCTTCAAATGAAAAATGAGTGTTCTTTTCTTTCCCTATCTCTTTTGTCACTCCCACAGGTTGGCTGGGTGTGTTGTAGGTGAAGATGAAGTATCCACGGTTTGCAGCAGATTCCAAAGTGAAATAGGAGCCTGCTTCTTGCTTGAGGAAGGTGAAGGACAGACTTTCCTTCTTTCCCAGTGCATTCAGTTCTTTGATGTTCGTTTTCTGAAAGATGGGGGAGAATTCATTATTAGCTGCTGTAGCGTGGATCTGGAACATCCTCACATAGGCCAATGTTTGGTCCTCAGCATGGCACCATTGGGAAGGGGTGGAAACTTTGTAAGTGGGGCCTAGCAGGAAATGTGAGGTCCCTGGGGATGTGACCTTGAAGCAGGCTATGGGATGTTGGCTCCTTTTTTGCTTTCTGTTCATAAAATGAACAATTTTGCTTTAACTAGTGCTTCTTCCAGGATGAACCACCATGGACCCGATAAATCATGTTCCGAATCATGATCAGAAATCTTCAAAACTGTGACCCCCACTCCTCAACAAACAAACTAAAACAAAAAACCTTTCTCTTTGTAAGCTGGAGACCTTGGTATCTGTTACTATGATGGAAACATAGTAAGTAGAGCAGGCTACTTTGTGAAGGCAAGAAAGAAAGACTGGGGTATCTTTGCTGAAGCTTACGTTTTCAAGCTTAGCTTTAAGGTTTTCCACTTCCCTGGATCGGGAGGCCAGGGGAAAACTCCTCCAGCTGCCTTACCTTTAATTCTAATGAAGGACTGTTTGGTTCTTCGACTCACTCACAGCATAGACAGAGCTCCCCTTTAGAGACAGCCAAAAAAATAGGATTTCCCTCTGCGATTTTGGTGTGTGTTGAAACCAATACATAAAACGTCTCTAGAAAAAAAGTCAGAAATCGTGTCATATCTAGAGGAAAAAATGTTTTGCTGTTGGAGTTCCCATCAAAACCACCATCTTTAGTCATGTGATCAGTTCTCAGCCCTACACTAGCCAAGGAGCCAAGAACACCTGCGTTCTCAGGCCTCCCTCTTCCCACATCTCTGGAGCTGTTTTCCTCCTCGCCCTTCCAGGGAAATTTCCTTTGGGTCAGGACGCTCTTGGGGCCATCTCCCTATTTTCATTCTTGTGCATTATCAGTGACCTCCTGCAGCTGCTACCTGAGTAGTGGTGAACAGAGGAGCCAAACAATAGTATTAAAAAGGGGCTCCACCCAACCAGGGGTGTGCAAGAGGACAAGACCAATTTTGAGTAAAGAAAAATTCAGAATCACCTCCAGTTTTCGGGAGTTTGTCAGGAGCTGCCACGAGGATGCTGCCTTGCAAGACCAGCACCTGTTGGTTTGTGTCTCGAATGCAATATTTCTGCGAGGTTATAGATTTGAGTTGCGAACCTGGAAAACAGTGCCAAAGATTGTGCATAACCACCCAGTCTGAGTTCAGCCTCAGATCCCCACTTTGTTTCATGAGTCAAACAAGACATGTTTCTATCATTAGTTTTTCACTGAAATCCATTGATAGATAGAACTTTGGTGCCCGTAGAGACTATCCATTTGGGTCCTGGGGCCACACTGACTCTTGGTCAAACCTTTATGGTGTCACTTAGGAGATGAACAAGTCCCCAACTTCACAAAGACTCATGTTGGCCCCCAGCACAGTGGTGATAATAAAACCTACCTTACAGAGGCTTGACAGGAAGCGTAGGAGGGATTCAGTGGAAGGTCATCATTATGAGTATTAATGACTGTTTGGTAATAGCCAATGAGGGTTCATTACTGTTATTGTCATCTGCAATTCCAAGCTGGCATAGATCTCTGCCATGTCACATACTGATTGTGCAGATGGTTGGGGCAGCAGAAAGGTGGGGATGACAGAGCAAGCCCACAAAGTGCCCACAAGCAGCAGTTTTATGTCTAGAAGAGGCTGCAGATGCATGAGCTAGGGGTGTAGGGGATGGATCTGCCTCTATGGGCCCTGAGTGGCCAGGAAAGTTCCAGCAGTGGCCAGGAATCTGACTCAAAATTGAAGGCATTCATTTGGTCACCTGTGCCTAGAAGAGTAAATCCTACACTGGGAACTTGTGCCTCCTGTCATCTCTGACAGAGCAGATGTTCTACCAATCAGTTATTGAGTGCAGGCTTTGTAGAGAGATGGCTGAGAGCCCAAATGTAGGGCTGGTAGCCGAGTCTATTTAGACTAACAATAACAAATGTGAAATGTGATAATGGGATAGGCAACTTTGTACATTAGTTATTACACTATGCCACACTGTAAAGATGCAAACACACACCCACACACAGCCTTGTCTCTTACTCTTAGCTAGGACCTGTGACTTGTGCTCTTCCGTCTTAATCAGCTATCCACATCCTCCTGTCCTGCAATCCCAGCTCTTAGGCCTCCTCATTCCTGAAATCTTTGCTCTATCTACTGGTAGGGACGAAATTTCTTCTCTGTGCAGCCCCACCCTCAGTGTGTGCTTGCAGGAGAGGTGGTGTATCACAGCACCTTATCTTGCTCTTACTACATCCTCATACGGGATTAATACCATACTTTCCCAGGGCCTCACATGAGCAGTAAATAATACTAGGTCAGTGCTCACTAAAGCATCCTTGGTCTGGAGGAAGCCACCAGCATGCTCCTTGGTGCTCCTGACCGCGTCTGTCTATGACTTTGATGGAGGATTAAAGCCGAAAAGGGGAGCAGGCCACATGTACTGGAGCAAGCCACAGCCCCAAGCAGGAGACTACACCATCAATACCAACCTAACCAGCCCTGCCGCAACAAAACCAGCGGAGGCCACCCTTCTCTGAGCCATTGATTTACCTGTTATCTCTTCTCTCTTTTACATCATCTTTACACAGCTGAATGGGTGGGAATATGTTGGACTCAAACTGAGCCTGAGTCGTATGATGGAAAGAGGCCCCAGAGGCAGGCAGAGCCTCGTAAGCTCACTCTGCACTTTGCCTGCCAAGGGTACTGGGCATCTCAATCATCCATCTGATACTCAGTCTTCACTGGGAAAGTGGGAACATAATACTTTACTGGTGCCTCTGTGCAGCATGAACTGTATCCCCGTGAAAAGTGCTCAGGCTGATGTCTGCTATGTAATTTCTCAATAAATGTGAATTTTTGATCCTCTCACTAGGGCACCAAATCTTGTGTTAACTACTGGGGTTTGTTCTTCCCCACAAGGTTAAAGTGCCCAAAGTTAAACCTGAAAGCCTGAGTAACACCTCCCCTCCTTGTCACCTCAGGACCCCTCAGAAGGTCACCTGATTTGGAGGAAACCACAGATGCAAGGCAGGGATTTGACAGCAGAAGGCCTCTTGCTGAGGATGGGAAAGAAACACAACAGGTTAGCAAATGCAATTTCATTATCTTGGGTAGAGTGGTTTAATTTCTGCTCAAGGCAATTTCTTAGGCATGAGCTGTAAAACCCTCATGCAGAAACACCGTAATACTCCTAAATATGTTTAGTGTCCAATAATTTTGGGAGATTCTGAGATTAGCAATGCTAGTAGGGTTTTGTTGTTGTTATTTTGTTATTGGTATTATTTTTTGAGTAGTGTTTTCACTGCCATTTTCCCCAAATATTTTGGGAAGAATAATACAGTTTTTTCTCCTAGTTGACCTACGAGACCTTCCTCCTGTCTGAAAAGCAGACTCTTTTCTTGCTGTGGGGAATGTATCTTTACATGTCTTTAATAATGAGACATTGGTATTGCGTTTAAACTTTTTTTATTTAAGGAAGGATGTTTTTTAGATGTAAACCATTCAAATTGGATAAAGAAGTGCTTTAAAATGTGAAGAAAATCTTTAAATATAAGCACATGGATCAAAAGCACATAAGTCTGGATCCTGAGCCAAAATATATCCATCTCCACTACTTTCTGTAACTGTCGCTGTCTGCATGTATCCCTAGGTTTCAGGTGCTTTGCAAGTTGGACAGAGTAATCATGGTTCTTTAGAAACCATGCATCTTTGGGAGCTATGTTCTGATGCCAAGGATTGATTTGTATATGGGTCTCACCTTCCGACTCTAACTGGGATTCTTCTGTGTCACTGCAGGGCAGCTCGGCTCTCATGCTCAGTTTGTGGCCATCTGAAGAAGTCACTGCCCAAACTGAGAATGAACAGAATGGAGACGCAGGGAAGGCAGAGCTGCATAGCCATGAGGGTATTGCTAATGGAACTTTAAACAGGAATCCTTTCCCAGTATCTCTAATTGCTACAGGACAGTGCCCTTGCTGTAATTCAGAATGCTGCTTTAATAACACTTAGCCAGATCATTCCATTGTATAATGGAGTTGTGCTTTGATCTTATCCACATTGATAATTCTGTGTTTTGCCTATCAAATGACTATTTTTTTGAGGTCATATTTTATTATCCCTGTGAAGACAAACCAGGAATCATGTGGGGGTCTTGCTAGAACGCAGGTCTTGATTCATTACTGACATTTCTACAAAAAGTCAGTAATGCTGACACTGCCAGATCCCATATTATCCTGTGTAGCAAGGTCCCATGAAACACCATTTCTGGTGTCCCGGTACAGAGTGCGCTCACAACCACGCCTCTGCTGTGGGTGGGGTGGGCCACCACCTCACTTCTCCTTTGGCTCTGCACAGGTCTTTACAAGGCAAAGCTCTTTCACATATGCAAACTAGCAAGCAAAGTCTCTCCATAAGAGAGGAAAGAACATGGGGTGAATGCTATAAATGGCCTTTATAGACATGGAAAAATCAAAGTTGAGAAACATCTCCAAGGTAACAGAGCCAGAAACAGGGGGCAGAGTCCAGGCATTCTGATCTGTGCTTCTAAATGCCTTACCCCACAATACACCAACCCCTGAAGGGCGCATCAGTAGACCAAAGATGATCAGACACAGGTGTTCATTTTAGTCTTTCCACTGGCACACAGAGAGACGTAACTAAGGTACATAAGCTCCGGAGGCCCCAAAGACCACAAGGGGTTTATTGACATCTCAGAAAGGTCTTGTGATAACATATGGGCTGGAGAAATCTCCCAAACTTTAAAGTGTACATGAGTTATCTTGGATCTTTTTTAAAAGGCAGAGCCTGATTCACTATATCTGAAATGAGGACCAAGGATGTGTTTCTGAGTTCCTAGAGAACACAGATGCAATAGACTTATGGGCCAGGTACTTAACTGTGATTATGTCTTCAAATAACCTGAGGAATGTTAAAAATTATAGCTCTCTGGGTCCCATTTTTGGAGGTGGGTATAATTAGTCTGGTGGTGTACAAACATTGATGCTTTCTTAATGCTGTTCGGGAACAGAGAATTGCTGGTACAGGGTTGGGCTTCCTGCTGAAAACAAGTTACACCATTGGATGACACAGATTTCTGATAGCTTTAAAGGTCTCCACCTAGGTTTTCTGATATTAGATGAGTCATGTTTGTGAGTTTTTGCCAAGAGAAAAACTATCTTGACTTTGTTTTCTTTCTTATACTGTTTTCACCTAGAGTCCTTTGGGAGTCCTACTGGGAGATGAATGTAGAAAGGACAGCAGAGAGTGAATACAAAAATGTGGTGTTTTTGTACAAAGGAGTACTACTCAGCTACAAAAACATTGTATCAAGGCTTTTATAAGTAAATGGAAGCAACTTGAGACCATACTCATAAGTGAAAAAAAGTTCACATGTGTAAACACCATATTGTCTTCCTAGTGTAAGAAACTGAAAGAGTAAATACAATTCAAAATCTACTGTTCAAAGAGGAAAGGTAACTGGTATAGGTGAAAGAAGAAAAGAAAAGGCATAAATTTGTATATACATAAGAGCTAAGATGACTATTACTAATTGTATTAATTCTTGAAAAGTAAGAGTTTATACTCCTGTGATTAGATCAATTTTGCGTGTCTATATCTGGTAATCTAAGCAATCCTTTTAAAGATAGCAATATGCAATATTACAACCATTGTCAAATTCTTATCATCTTGTTTTGATTCTATACTGTTAGTGTTTTGGGTTTTTTGAGTTTTTTGTTTCTTTGTTTATAACTTTCCCTTTTTGTTTTTCTTTGTGTGTCTTTTTTTCTCTTTAAAAAACCCTATATCCTGCACTAATTTGCACACACATCAGCAAGTGAGAAGCAGTGTACTGTGTCACATAATTTCCAGCATGACTGATCTTAAATTTTCCAAAGCTGTTTAGAAAGGTACTAAAGCCCCCTGGAAAGGCTTATTTAATTGATTTAGGGAGCACATTCTACACCAGTATATTTAAAGTCTTTCAAATGTTGCTAAAGCTACGTTGGAGAACTGTTGGACTCATGCAAATACTTTCTAAACCAAAGTTCTGGGTCAGTTTGTCCCAAATATAAAAAATAATTGATTGAGATAACATATGTGTAAATATGACATTGTCCCTCTGGTATAAGGTTCTGAAAACGTAAATAAGAATGGAGATGTACAATAGATATTGTGAAATAGGAAATAATCTTCAAAGGGAAAAGGGAATGGAGTGAAATGGAAGGGAAACAAAAAAAATGAGAAAAAATAAGGATAGAAAGGAAACAATTCTTGGTAAATAAGGAGAAGAAAACAGGTTGAAGAAGGGAGGGGAATGGGAAAAAAAAGAGGAACTAAGGTATATCATGTAGAGGTCCAAATTCCCTAAGATGAATGTGATCATTATGCATATCTACGTTGTACCAATAAACTCGATTGTTAAAATGATAAATGACTAAAATAAAATTAGAAAAATATAAATAAAATAATAAATAATTAATTTACGTACTGTATGTAAGTCATGAGACAAGGATATCAGCAGATAAAAGAAATCAGTGAAGTCAAGAGATGTCCCTGAAACGTTAGGACACTGGGAAAAGCAAGGTTTTACAACCCCAGGGCCAAGGATAGGTCTTTAGGAACCGGGTGAGGCCCCACAGCAGGTGAGAAGCAGGCAAGTGACCACCCTCACGGTTTGCATTAGAGCCTTAACTCCACTTCTGTCGGGTCAGCTTCTGCTGTTAAATCCTTACAGGAGCGTGACCTTAACTGTGAGTGGTGCTGATGCAGGCGCTACCACGTGTGTTCTTTCTGAGAATCTAACCTTGAACCTCTTCCCACACAAGCTCTATGGAAAATGTGACTCCCATGGAGCAGGTCCCTCTACCTAAAATGCTGGAAAGTCCTGGAATAAGAGAAATGGTGTTTCTGCCATATACAGAATAGAGATTTAAGTCTGTTTCGCTTAAACATTGTGAACAGGAAAACTCCAGTAGTTTGGAGGATTGGGAAAAACTAGCTGATTGACATTTAGTTACAGATGATTATGATTGGGATGTGGCTTCTCCCCATCAAAAGTCTGCATTTTGGAAATCCGGTCCCCACTGTGATAGCATTAAGAGGTGGTGGGATGTTAAGAGGTGTAGCCTAGTGGGAGGTTGTCATGGTGTTGGTATGCTATGTCCCACAGTGCTAATGCATGAGGGTTTGGCCACAGTGTAGCAGTGGTCAAAAGTGTGGTTTTGGAAAGTGACCGAATGAGTAGGACTGTAACTTTATTAACAGGTTACTCCTATTAGCTCACCGGGATCATTGGGAGGTGGGGTCTAATTGTGTGAAGTAGGTCAGTGGGAGTGTGGCATCCGTCCTTGAGGACTCTGTCTCTGCCTCTCTGTCTCTGTCTCCATCTCTCTTACCTTCATTTTCTCTTTTTCTCTTTCTACCCCTTCTCCTTCTTTTTTGCTCCTGGATGCAGTGAGGTGAGCAGCTTTTCTTTCCTTCACCATGTTCCTCCGTCATGAATATTCCATCTTCAATATGCTTTCCTTCAGGTCAAATAACGGAACCAATCAACTATTAATGATGAACCAAAGTAAATCTTTCATCCTTTCCCCCCCAAGATATTTCATCATAGTGATGGAACAACTCCTCAGAGGTCATTACCCATCCTGTCCCGCCTTGCTGTGTGAGCAGTCCTTCCCACATGCGTTCCTGCAAAGATGCTACCCACCAGGAGCTGACACAGCCAGGGAAAGTCTTGCCAGAGCTGACAGTATACTATGCAGCTTTCAACTTCTAAAACTGTTGACTAAATAAAGTTCTTTTCTTATGAGTTCCTCATCCTCAGATATTTTAGTAAAACAGTTAAGTAGACCAAAATGCACAAACAGTTGTTCACAGGGTTAATGAAATTCAGGACAGATCTTCTGATGGCATCCACTCAGTGATAGTCATAGACCACCTAAAGAGATGCTGTATTTGATCATTCGGGTTCAGCATCCATCAAGGAAGGAGAAACCAAAGTGGTGGTTTCCCCAAACTGGCCAAAGACAGATGCGGGATGCTGGCAGTGCCCTACTACAAAGTACCAAGGCCTATATTCTCCAGCTCCATTCTGTTTCTTTTCCTATGTCACTAATTGTCCTTTGATTTAGGGTACAAGGTTGTCTGGGTGGAAGGCTGCTCTTGTACCTTGGAGTAAGTTTTTAGGGTAGATCTTGGGGATAAAATCTGGAATGTCAGAAAATCTGAAGGAAGCAGATTCTACCAGGGAGGAAAAAGCCTGGCCAAATTAACAGGTGCTGTCCTGTTTCCCCAGTGATTCAGGTCCATCCTAAGAAGTACTGTGTAGGTGTGGGCCTGACTACTGGAAGGGCCAAGTGGTGCCCTAACCCAGAAGTGTCTCGCAGTAAAATGGGAATGAGAGTCACATACTTGGCTCAGCCATGTGTCTACAGTTCTGGGTGGATGCTGGGAGTCTGGGAAATCTTCTGGTGTAACTCACAATGATCCTGGAGATGATTCTTCATTGAGTGTGATAAAGTAGGAGTGGCTAGATCTGAAATTATGAATGCAATATGCAGTCATCCAGTAGATTTTTTGTAGGGCACATTAAAGATGATTGTAAAGCTTTTGACACACCCCTCATAGAAAGGTGGGGCCTATGTCCCCTATCCCTGACTCTGAGTGTGTTTATCATGGCTGGATTAATAAGGCACATTGGACAGGATGTACCCATTTACAGCCTTTCCTGGGCTTTAAGGGGCTAGCAATTTTTACTACCTGCCTCTTGCAACACAGTCACCAAACTGTGAAAGTTTCCAAACATCCCCAT